ATTTTGAAATTGTATATGAAAAAAATATGTTATTTTTTACATTTAAGCTATTAAGCAATCCGTTTTTCATTCTAATTTTAGTATATGCATTGTTTGCATATACACCAACACAAGATTAATAATTTATGTTGGGCGATGGAACATATTAAATGTAAAAAAGTTAAGCAGTTATTATACTATTACACGTATAATCAATCATATAGTGACATCACTAGTAACACTGAAATGACGTCACTAGTAAACCGGAAATGACGTCATGATTTCAAAGTGAAGGACACGTGCGATTAAACATGATCTGTATTTCATGTGGTTAGACGATTTAAACATCGATCACATCTAAACTCGTTTTTTAATAAAAAAAAAAATACACAGAATTTTTTTAAGAAACGCAATGCTTGCACACATTACAAACATTATCACATCATATATTGACTGAATGCCATGTGCCACTTCAATGTCATTAAAACATTTAAACTACCACAATAAAAAACAAATCAATATGCCGTAATGATTCGAACTGTATATATACATGTTTTAAACGGAGCATTGTAGAACACACTTATCCCCTCATTAAAAATCGTTGCGCATACTAGCTGTTCCAGGCATAAGCTATCATTTCCTGCATTAAGGATACGCCTACCACTGCCAGAAACTGTTGTCGGCATGATTAAAGCCATGATGAACAAAATTGCAAAGTAAAACTTCCATGACTGTCATAAATAAAAAAAAATGAAATAAACAAAATAGAATCATTTAAAGTGCTTTTGAGTGTATATTGCAAACAATTACAGTGTAACTCTGAATTGTTTTGTCTGCATCCTTAATGTATTATTATCCTTGATATATGTAATGTTATGCTCTATATCTCATAAAATTAATAAAAAAAAATCATTTTACTATACACATTTAAAGATATGAAAGAAAAAAAAATCATTTTTAAATAAAGAGGATTATTTTTTTTTTTTTTTATTCTATTTTTTTAATTATTGTTTTTAGAAAAATCTTATTTCGATATATTTTTTTTTCTCATCGATTTGCCATTTTTTGTTGTAATGGACGTACAGAAACAATATTGAAAAATGTGTGAATCATACAACAGGCTTGATATAACAAGTCATAAATACATCAAAATCAAATGTAGTTATTAAGTCATTGTCCTGAAACTACAGACTGCGGTGATTTCACAAATTTAGCTTCATCATATAATGATGTAAAAGTTACAATGATGTTGACAATATTAAATACATAGTATATAAATCAAATCTACACAGCAAAAAATAAACCTGTTTAACACATGACACTATATGTAACAACACTAATAATGATACAATGTTTTAGCTACTGATGTGGTTTATCATAAAAACGCATATAGGTTAACAAGTTATTGTAAATGTTTAAACAATGAAATAACATACTTAATAATATTTCTTATATAAAAATATTTCAAATGGTTTACAAACAAACAAATAAAATATATCTATATACACACATACATAACATTAATGAAAAGAGTGACTTACAAGTTCACTAATATTATTGCGTTCCCTATAGGAACATATGTTTATAGACAACATGTATAACAGTTATATAAAAATATAAAAATCATATTCATATATTAATTTCTCCTCTGTGAATGAATATAAAAATTGCAAATTATAATTTGTACGTCACAAATAAAGCATCCACGTTAAATGTCACTATCATATTTGGATAAAGCTTCGATTCAATCTCTGAATTTACCAAATAGATAGTTTAAGTGTTTCTCCATTATAACGTTAAACACGCAGAACACAACATCTTTGTATGCAATTGCTGATAGTTAATTCTTAGGATATAGACAAATAAAGGGAACGGTAATTTTAGAATTTTTCCATTTTCATATGAACATCCTGATTTTTAATTTCCAGCAAGTTAAATGGTTTAAGTATGAAAGCTGTTTACTTTTATACCGATATAACAATGTCGACAACACCGTTCAATTTATGTTGGAATCAATAACAATGTATTGTTGGTAAATTTTGTTGAGGATTTATTTTCACTATATTCGCTGTCACCAACGACTACAAGAAATTAGAAATCCAGTACGGATAATGTAATAACAACCAAATTTGGATATCCGTAGTTAACATAAATTTCGACTCGTTGACTGGTGGTATTACATTTGGATAACACAAAACATTCTACATTTTGAAAGGGTTCATCCCAATTGTATCTACATAATTCATTCTACTTATTAATATGTACACCACTTCCGACCAAAATGAACAAGCATGTTTTCCGTTTGGTTATTTAAAGTATTTGGTCCACTAAAAATCTCATGCACATTGACCAATACCTCAGCATCCAAACAACTTGGCTCTTGTATTCAGATATGATAGTTTTATAATGGAAGGATAAGGAATATATTTACAGTTTACACTGACATTCATTCAATAGACATTAATCCACCAAACTGGAATTATCAACTTATTATATGACCATAGACAGTTTCCATGACGTTGACACCAATTGAAGTGGGCGGAGCTATGCAAACTTTCCGCGAACGAGACACAATTATCAACAATAGATTTTGGCAGAAGTAACCAAAGCTTATGCAAATTTAAGACTTTTACTTATATCAAACCGATCAATCAATAATAAATTATCTAAAGAATGATTACTAAATAGTTAGAAATCATTCACAGAAAAATAGGATTGTCTGGTTATGAGGTGAGAATTCCAGTTGAGCACAGATAAATCTATCATAGATAGCTTTGCCAAACGTGCCCTACTGTAGCTATCAGCTCATAACATGACCGTGTAATTGCATTCTAAAAGGCAAACAATGGTATAGAAACCATCAACAAAAATACAATTAAAGTAAAAAAAATAAGGAACATTTAAATGATATATATATTGATTTGAAAATAAATTGTTGGTGCAAATAAGGTCAGATAACATGTTAAAAGCAATGCTTGGAGATGTCACAATCGCATATGCTATGTTGTCATACATGAATTAATAAACAAAACACATATTTACATGTTTTAGGTAGACACAATCGGGCGTGCACATGCTTAGATATATATCAGTAAGACACCAATTACATATTGTTCAATACTATAAACTGAAAAATTTTCGCTGCAGTTTAATTTTCGCCCCTTTTCGCCTTCCATAGTTAAGGCAAACTGATCATTACAGCGAATATAAATAAACACAACAATAAACATAATAATAAGAGCTGAAGGATGAAATAGACATTGGGGCAAAAATTGATTCCAAGGGAAAAGGGCGAAAATATTCCGGTATACAGTATTTAAATACATAATTCATACAAAATACATTAAGTGTTAACATAGGTGTTTTATCAAAATATAAAACAATTAATACTTACAATAAACTATTTACATCATTAATTGATAGCATGCGAACTAAATTGAATACATTGTACAATAAAAGCTGTACTTACAAAATATCCTTAAACAGCATAAAATAATTTTCCCTACTTACATCAATACTATTCTCATGTTATATCTTAAACTACTACTCACAATAATACAACAGTACACCTTGAACGTGTTTCCAAACTCATGTAATATATGAATAATTTGTCATGGGATATTGCTTAGTTTATGAAAATCTTTCATAAGTTATGATGTAAAAAATAAAAGTGATACATAGTGAACGTTTTGAAATCAATCGCCACAGTGGTTAGGTTTGGTCTGGATTGACCACTTCGCATATTTCATATCTATCTCAGATCCATGAACAGTACGACGTTAACATATCAAGCGAAAAGTCATGATGTAGTATGATCATATGGTGAAGGATTTTATGATGACTGTATTATGATCATGTGACGGTTGCATGGATGTTTTACGAATAATATACAGTAAATTAGTTTATATATTGACACACTGGTAATTTTCCATTGTAATAGAAAATGGAAATTTTTGCTCAGGATTAGTTTCATTTTCCACAAAACTTGCAGTGTACGTATTAAGCCAAATAATTGCATGAGGTACTATAATTCCCATGCAACACATATTAATGAGTGGGGAATAAGTCAGCGAAATGAAACGAATTAACACTATACATCTCTATTTACATGAGAAAACACTAATTACATCAGTGTACGGTTGATGCTCATTCTGGCATGTAAAACCGTTAGACAAAGTTATCTACGAAGGGGATATTCCAATAATTCCATTACCAAATACATACACAGTATCACTATACTTATTGTACTGTAACATGAACGTTAAGTCAGCTGAATAGACATATAATGGTTTGATAATAGTGATGTATCTTTGGTTGGGATTGTTATAATTAAATATGGAGCGCTCCGTCAGGGCAGCGCGTTATTGTTGTATATGCATGGTATAATATACGGCGCAGCAGACGATCGTCTACGATTCCCAGCTTTCCACTACTGGATCGCAGGTTTCAGGCCTAAGTAGGGTATTTGCCGGGTACTGGCCGCAGTACTGTAGTTTTACTCCGAGTACTTCGTTTTGTCAACCACCAAAACCTCGCTCGTCCTTATAGGACGTAAAGTGTAAACAAAAGTATTACTGTACATATTCCAGTGGTTTAATACTATCACAACCCTAACGTTGCCAAACCAGCATTGGATAAAAGCTGGCATTCCTTATGACACGCGCATTATTTCTGCTACTCTACTCTACTCATTTTGGTTTTCTTCCGCTTTTGGTCTATTTGCTGTGTTATATGGGAATTCGTTTTCAACCATTTCTTTGCATCTGCACACCTTGTGACTTTCTACACTAACTATTTCTACTTGTGCTTCACCACTTTTGCACGTAGATTTCTTCAATAGTTTCACGTTGTATGCCTCAAATCCTAATTGGGCAGTGAATGCGAGAACAAACTCGACACGAAAGCCTGCATATTTGCTTCCCACGAGGTTTTCTCCTGTTTTGAATGGACAGAATGGGACTTTAACTTGAACATCGGTATTTCCTTCGACATACAATTTGAGCGAGCCATGTTGTCTATATGTATTTGGAGGATGGATTGTTCCTGTCAACACTACAAGATAATAGTTTGCTGCCTCATCGTTGATGACCTTACCCTTTATATAGTTTTGGTAAGTGATTCCTTGTACGAGGCATCGGATACCATTTTCCTTCCCTAGCCACTCCCTTGGTTTCCCTTGGTTGGAGAACTGTTTACCTATTTGTTTCATTTCAATTTCTGCCCTTTTTATGGCCATTGCTTCTTTTAAAATGTTAACATCACAAGACCTCAGAGGGTGGATCGATAGGGTGCACAGGAGAACAAATATGTAGAAAATAGAGTAGGGACTGCACATTTTTTGGTGCCAAAAACGTACGTTTGTTAAAACGTCTTCCAAGGAATAGTACGTTTTCTGTTGGGGATGTCGAATTGCCTGGATCCAATCTATGAAAACAAAGTCTACATTCATATTGGAGTATGTTTCTCCTGGTTGCCTGATATCAGCAATGTTTTTTTTCTAGCATTGTAATTATAAACTTGATGTCTCTTTCATCTTTGAAGTCATTGATTGTTCCAAGCTGATTTACCTCCCCGTATTTCAGCTTAATTCCTGTAATCGTTGCGCATCGTGTATGGAATGTATCAGGAATACTTAAAGTATCTATGTAGCAGGTTTTGGTCATCCCCTTGAAAAGCGTTTTGTACTGTGTGACCTTCCTGTAAAACTGGTCATCAATCTGGGACTGATCAACAGTATTAAAGCACTTCATGAACAGATGTAGAATGTTTGATAAGCTTTCTTCAACAAACAAAATTATATCAGCATTTCTCGACTTTTCGCGAAGGGCTTGGATCGTGTGAAATCGATAGTGACTTTTCAGAAGATCACATATGCATAGCCGTACGTTTATTTCTCCAATACAGCCAAAGGACTCCTGATAACCTGCATATCCAAACTGTCTGCAATTTGAAAATGCTATGAATGCCAAATCTGCTAAAGTAAACATATTCCTGACTGTATCCTGAAATTGCATCTCCGAATTGTTTTGTTTTCTGCATTTTGCTATTTCAGCTTTAATCCGCTGAAGGTAAAACATTCCGTACATATGATATACGAAGCTCAGTACGACATCGTCATTTTCGGAATCAGTGTGACTTTCCTTTGCTCGACAGCCCTGTATCGCTTCCTGGAAAAATGTTTCAGTTTTCTCATGTTGTGTAGGACAAAGCAAGGAATATGCCCTCCCAAGGTGCGCCCACAAACTTGGAATATAAGGAAAAGACTTCGCAAGTGTTTCCATCACATGAAGGCGTTCAGTATACGGTTGCTCTGATGGTATGCTTTCCATCAGTCGTGAGAGCTGACGTTTTTTCGGTTGGGTGTCATCTGCTCCACCTTCACGATAAATGAACGTTTGTATTATTATATCAAGCACTGTTTTTGATTTTTGACCTGTTTGGTCTTCTCGTGTTTTCAGGTCTTTTATAAACTCCAAAACAAAGGGTTGGAGATGGTTCTTTGCTAACGGACTCAAGTCCAAGCCCCGATTACTGGTTAACACTCTCTATAAAATCTGATCTAGGATTTCTCTTGCTATCAGAAAATGACATATCCTAACGCTATTCTGAACGAATCCTGACTCAACTGGAACTGTGAATTCTTTGATGCTAGCCGGAAATTTGTCATACGTGAACTTATAATATGCAGACTTTCCAAACAAAGTTCCAAACATTTGACATGGCATGGTTCCTTGGCCGTAAAATTGGACTAGTGACAGATAACCAAGAACTCGCTGATTGGTATTCAACTCTTTACTCTTTATGTCTACCTTTAAGTACTCAGCCACATAATTAGCCACTCCTGTGAACTCTTGTAGATGAATGACTAACCCAAACTCGACGAGATGATGATTTACACCTTTCTCGACCTCTTCAACAAGCTTTTGGATCTGGTCTTTCTTTTTGACATTATCATGACAACATCGAATAAATTTCGGTCCTATACGCCTAGCTTCTTTTTTAGACAAGGTACCTTGGAGGAAATACTCATGTTTATCAAGATTGATCTTTGTTTCAGACACACGTTCTAAATATATAAAAACCACAATCACGTGATGCAGTTGTTGTTGTATCTGTTCAAACTTGTTTTTGTCTGATCCATCAAATAAGACGACAATTGGACTATGAGTCTCCTTGTAAAGAACAGATATGTTTTCCGCAATTTGTCGTGGCTTTGCCAATGAATCTGTTCTAATCTGAACGCATGGTGTGATTTCATGCAAGTTCCAAAGTATATATTGACCGATGGTAGTTCCCCCAGATCCAGGAGCATGGAATATCTTGACAAACCCTTGATTCAACGTGTCGATAAAATTGCTTTTGATATCATTCACAATGGTTGGAAGAAGATCCCTCGCAACATAAAAATGCTCCGGGCCATTGGTGTAGTAGGATTGCCAACTTAAAGTGCCACCTTTGAAGAATAACCGTTCTTCTTCTTCAGAAGCAGACCTATCAGAGGATCTACTTGGAGATGGGTTGTCAAGATAAAGTATTTACATACTTTCTCTGAAAGAGGCTGCCGATGTATTGTTGATAAGAGTTTCATTGGTGCCATCATCCGTTGGTAATCTGTATTTCGATGCCTTATGTTGTTGCGGCCCTAGATTTGTCGACAGATCATGGAAAACATCGTCAAGTTTTTCTTTAACGTAATAGTCTGGAGAAATTGTGTCGTCTACGAGTTTTTGGTGTTCTGCTGGCAGAATACCAATAACAATAACCTTTGGGACAGGCGAAATTGATTCATTTAATGCAGAAATGATTTTTTGGAACTTCAAATCTGTGGCTCTATCATCTGGCCAGCACGCAACCACTGTCAAAACGCTAACTGTATCTAGCATTTTGTTAATTTGGTCGACATGTTGCTCAAATTTGTTTTTGATATGTGGATACCACAATTTGAAACTGTCTGGCGTTTTGCTTTCAGGTTCTTGTGTTAGCCCTGAAATGAAACACCACTCAGTCCCGAATGTTTGTGTATTCGGAGGATCAAACCAGGTACAAGGGTACAGTCCTTTCCACTGTTTTCTCAAAACATCCTCAACCCTATAGAACAAACCATCAGTGCGACTGTCAATATGCCGTTGATTAAAGTATGATTCTAGCTTCTGTAGTTGCATCGTGTTCAATATCGGGTTTCCTCCAACTGATCCGTTTGCTTTCAAAATATCGTGAAGCAGCTGTCTGATTTTTTTCTTTTCTCTATAAAAAAAGCATAATTTGATAATTGTCCCGTTCATAATATTTTCAAGCAACGCAAAATAAATAATATACATGTAAATCTAAACTGAAACGTTTCTAAGACATCTTGTGTAGACTAATATATTATCAATCGTTGACTTTGTTTTAAGTGATTGATAAACAGTACAATGACAATAAATAGTTCAATATTTCTAACCATTGGATCAATATTTGTGATACAATGTGTTACAGATGAATGTAAACAACTTCATGTTGTGTGTCCTTTATCAGGTACAAATCGAACAATCAACTTTGACCATAACCATTGTTGTCTCACTATTAAAGGAATATTTGCTGTTGCAATGTTTTTAAATACCGCGTTGCATTTATTCGTCAGGAATTGTAGGTTATTGATATACCTGTAGAAGGTGTAGCTTCAAACACCATAGCGTTGTTATCTCCAACAATCACGTTGCCTCCGGCATTAATTGTCGTTTGATACACAATATCTAAAGTATATAACAAAGCCAAAATTACGAAAAACATCTTTCTATCTATATCTCTCTGCCATCTGGCACTGTCTATCTGTCAGTCCCAGTATTTGTCTGTCTCTGTCTGTCTGTGGGAGCTTAAGGTATGAAAAATTGACAGGCTCATAACGATAATGTAATACTTTCATGTTATTTTCAGGATGCGCACTATGGTCATGTTCAACAATGTTCTACGACACTAATAAACGTTGTCCTTTTGAAACCACACATATTAGAAAAATTCATGTTATGAAGCAAATTAGAAAATGACAAAATTAGAATTAGGAAATGTAACATTGATTTCGAAAAAAGAAATCTGGATCAATGACTGACAAATACATATGTCTTACCTTGTTTTGCCTTTCCTTTTGTCGGACTTTTCTTCTTCTTTGTGGCAGTTTTGTTTTTGTTTGAAAAAAGTACATGTATTAACTTTTGTTGTTGTTTTCCCAAAATAAGACAGAAGTGTGATAGGCGGAGAAAGAAAAAAATACCCAGACAAAACTATGATCGTATGCAAACTGTACCTATTTTTCTATTTAGAAACTTGAGTATCATGAATTTATTTCAAGCTATGTTGTCACAGAAAGTTCAGTTATGACGTAACAAAAAACACAACATTCGGAATGCTATAAAATGCAAAAGGATGCTTGCCGGAAGTTCACTAAAAGAAAATTTTAAAGTTTGTGCAGAAATTTGATATCTACATTTTGTAGTGTAAAAGCATTAATGGAAATTTGGCTTATCCACGCTAAAATTATCGAACGAAATACAAAGAAAAGAAGCACTCACAAAAAAGAAGGAAGAAAACGAAAACAAGTTATGGTAAACCTCGGGGACATACGCATATTTAGACTATCTGCAAAAGCATCTACTTTATTAAGAAAAACAATCATAACTTAGTTTGTCGATCACCATATAGCAATTTGGTCAATGTTGATTTCATTACTGTTAAAATAGGTCTAAAGAATTATTATCGCTGCCTAGAGTGAGAACAGAAAAGAAATAAAATATATAAGTTAAAGCTAAAACTAGCAATATGTAAAATGTAGTTTTAATGATTATTTTAAGTACTTAAAAGTAGTTTTTCATTTAAACCTGCCGAAAGAAATCTCAACTTTAACACTTAGACTGTCGATTATTTAACGCAGCTAATTTGACACTCTTGTGTCAGATGTGACGTTCTGATTATTATGATGTGAAGGTATTATTAACGCTAAGCTAAACTTGCTTGATATTGCTCATATTTATTTATAAATTGTAAAGTTCGTTGGGCCTCTCTTGAGTTCGGAGGTATCGGCTTTGAGTTCAGAACTGGTTGTTGCTTCATACTTTTATATAGGTGTATTTTCCATAAACATTAAGTCCTGTAGAAATTGTGAGTTGTTTCCCTTGCATCGATCTTAGCATTCAATATAAATTAATTCTGATTCTAGAGAAAACAATGATAAAGTAGGCGATAAAACAATATACATAAGATTCTATTATATCGTTTTAGAAGCAAAATATTATACTTTTCATATTTATACCAGTCTCAAATCACAGTATAGACAAGGTTTTTAATATAAATTAACGCTGATACTAGAAAAAATACATTAGGCAGCGATCATACACTATATATAATATTACATCATTTCGGCTACAAAGTAACACATTTTACTTAACTACCCTGCATATTCATACCTAAATGCATGCCAGAGTATGATATTTGTCCTTACAAACCACTCGTCATAAAGCCTCTAAGTATAGCGAGTGTAAACCAGAAGGCTGGTCGGGTCTTCTCTTTGACAAAGAAAATGTTTTGTTAAGCGAGGGTACGCACCTAATTGTTTAACATACATAGGTATCAACTGGAAGATAAGGGCCACTTGTTGAAATTTTGAAGCAAATTATGTAATCAACTTTATTTTTAAGCCAATGTCACATCGCACACGCAAAAGAAATATAATTCATAATTTATAATTGTATAATTTAAACAGTTTGATGTCTTATGTTAGCCACTTATGTAAAATAATCATTGTAATACAGCAGTATGATTGATACAAGCAACATAAATTTGTATTTTATAGCGAATTGTATAGAAGTGATAAAAAAAACATTTTGCCAAAGTCGACATCATTTTCTTTTGCACTCATTTTTACCCTCATTACAGATTTCGATTAAATACATAAAATTATGTGTTTATAACTTCCTATGTAAAAATTTTTTATCACTGTTATTCATCCGATCGACATTTTCTTTTAATGCAAATATTAGAAATGAAAATTCAAAGGTCAAAACAACTCTTTTATGCACAACCTTAATGTTCATCTTGCTGAAAAATACAATTGTATAGTGTGTATGCAATGGCAAGTACCTGTCAAAGTTTACATGCCGACATTTTCAATGTTGGTAACATTGCCATCTGCAGCTACATTGCTTGCAGGGTCAATTTCATTCTTTTCAATATATGCTTGAGTAAAAAAAATCGTTCTGGTGTATTGAAATGTAAGAATGATTTATTTTTTCTTAAACCATTGATTGAAAATTGCAAAAGGTCCTTTTTTCGCAGATTTCATAAAATATATAAAAATGCAAATATACTTCCTTAAACTTAGACTTAACTTATCGCTCTTTTCAAACTTAGGTATCATACAAATAATCGATGGACAAAAGACTGTACAAATGATGTCATGGAAAATACTGGTTTAGCGGTACGGAAAGAGTTAAAGAATATCATATTCAGGACCAGTAAACTATAGTGTATAATAATGCAAACCCTATACCCCTACCCTGGTGAGGAGATTCCGAAGCAGCCTTTCGTTAGAAAGTCGCGAAGTACTTCAAAGGCAGGACATTTGTATTTCTGCTCTCAAGAAAATGAATGGAACCTTTTCTCAAAACAAAATTAATCAAAACAATGACATACATGTGTCAATTATAAATCAATTAAACTTGTATGGTGATGTATATACTTACACATCTAAAATAATATAGTTATTTTAGAATAAAAAATGCATTGAACAAGTACTTAGCTGCTGAAGATAGAAACAAGTTCGCCATAAACTATTTATGTTTTACTTTGCCCTATAATCTGAAGTGCTCTACACACATGTTGACTGGATGTAGCTAAGATTAATGACCGCTACAGAAATGAAAATTAGAAGTATTTACCTGCAGAATGAACTACCTGTGGATTGCTAGGCAAAGAATCATCGTCTGTCAAAGTCACCTTTTTGCTGTTCTTTTCTTTGACATTTCCTGTAAGATAGAGGAACAGGTGATTGCACTATTACAATTTTGTAGTTAAAATATGAGGTTTGGTCGTATTTACCTGCATGAAGAACTGTCTGCGAATTGCAAGGCGAAGTAGCATCGTCTTCTAGTAACACGTTCACGGTGTCCCTCTCTTTGACCTTTTCTGTCTGTTTATTTCCTGCAAGATAGGTGTACGTTACACACTGGTGATTGCAATTTTGCAATTTAGTAATAGATAGGGTATACCAAAGCCGCTGCATCATAGAGCTATTTCGTTCTTATAAGACTCATCGGTGATGCTAGGAGTCACAAAGATGGAATTCTAAGTATATCTTATCTACCGTTGACCTGTTATATCAAGTCAAAACCTGTAACTATGCATCTCTTAAAAGAGATTAATCAATTTGCCAAACAATGTGTTTTAAATTCATTCTACTTTGTACACACATTAAAATGGTATTAACGGTTTGCAAAATTCTAGACCCCTAGTTTTTTGCCAAAATCATGGCTAAGGGAAATATTTGCATACCACGATGTGACAAAATAGTAATCTATTTATCAATCTTAATGCAAAATTGTTGCTAAATATTTTTAAATGTACTCAACTGTTCGCACATTAGAAAGTGCTAGTAAAGGAGCTCATCATAACAAATAAATAACTTGTTCAAACTTGCCAAAAAGAAAGAAAAAACAGGTTCAAACATGTTTGAGGTGATCCAGGATACCCTTTAGTATATATATATAAAATAACAGCTCCTGATCATAAGAGGATTAAATGTTTCTACTTTTCTATTCGAGAAAATTCGCTCTTTTAACGTCAGTTTGGGCAGTTCTTAGAAAAAATGTCCCAATATGAGCGATGATCTCACAATAGTGGCCACCTGGATAAAAGGTAATATTATCTCATAACACGTACTATCATATTTATGTATTGTAACGGGACAATGTAGAGTAAATGTAAATACTTAACTTTGATTTATTTTAAAGATGAAAGAAACACATACACACATACACATGTGATTGCTCCTTTAAAGTTTGGTAACATATACAGTACGCCAAATACTAAAATACGCAACATCATATTATTTGTTTTTCGACGACTCATCGGTGATGCTAGGGGCCAAAAAGTTGGAAATTCATATTCTAAACTACTGTTGAAACAGAAGGGGCATGTGCGTAAAACTCATGAAAAGAGATTCAGGAAAACGACAAATATACCTACCATCGC